GGGGGTGGGGGGGGTGGGGGGTGTGAGCGAGCGAGCAGCTGCGTGGGGCTTAGTTGCCGGCTGGGGTTAAACCATAGCAGTGTGTCATACTGGATAGCTGGTATGTCTGTAAAAGGCAGGAATATTAAATGGCTTTGAACCTGTAAATGGTAGGCACTGATATCCTGTGTCAAGGTGCTGCGCATGAATATTCAGAAGCTTAAGCAAACTACTTCTTCATCACAAGACTGTTAGTTTATTAATTTAAACTAATTCAGTAGTTAAGTGAAAATGCACAGATAAATATTACCTGACAGCTTCCAAATCACACTGCTCAGATATTTGGTACTACAGAACTGCAAGGCTAACTAGCTGTAGATGGTAAGGCATTTCCACGTTCCCTGTCCCAAGAAGTCCTCACACTGCAGGCTGCCGGACTGTATCCTAGCAGAAATACCATCATGCACTTGCCCTGTTTTTAGGCTCTCTCTTAATACCACTACTAGCAACTGCTGGAAACGAGACTAGGGGAAATAGAGCTTATTAACCCAGGGAACACATTCTTGTCTCACTGTGGCCTCACATTTTAAGCTAGTCACAGCTAATAAAAGAATCCGGTGCTTTGCGCACCCTTAAACGTCTTCATTTCACAATTATAAAACCTGCAAGTTGGCCTGAGCAATTTAAACATCTAAACTATCCCCATGCTATGGCTACTTGTTAAGTACACAGCACACAACAGAAGACATACCTGCAGGGAGGGTGATAATTCAGTGGCTTTTGTAATTATAGTTCAGAAATTTTCATTAAAAAATACATTTAACCTTGTGATACTTACAAGAAGAGTTTGGTTGTGTGCATATATACACACACACACGTATGTTGTATAGCACAAGGCACTCATACTCCTGTGCTTGGTTTTCAGCTTACAGAGTAACAGTGCCTTTCCATTATATGTAACTACCCGCCATACCAAATTTTTCCCATATGCTCATGATATATTTTTGTGTCATTTCTGATCGATCTTAACATCCTTGTCCTTAATCATATCCTAAGACCTGGCCGGTCTCTTTTACTCACATAGGACTCCATGTGACTTGAAAGATTCAGGACAATGTGCAATGCAGTAGTATTGTAGGGGGAAGAGAAAAGAATCTGAGACAGTCACTTGGTTTTAAAATGCATCTATCTGCCCTCACACAGGCAAAAAATATCATTCCTCTTCCAGTGTGGCAGCAAAGGAAAACCTTCCAGAACAGAAAGCACTTAAGGATCTCTTATGTTCACACAAATTTAAGAGGCTGAGTCTTAATTAATAATTTTCCTAACAGCACCAGGGTTTCAACATCCACTGTTAAGAATGTAAATCTAACATTTCCAAGAAATTGCATACTTCTGACAGAATAGTTTTGAGGCAGATATACCGAATGCAATGACTACTACGGCTAGTTCCTGATCTTCTTGGGGAACAGCAATATTTTTGGGGACAAAACTGACAGAAGGAAAACAAGCTACCATTTGCAAGAAGATGAAATACTCTGAGCAGTAGCAAAGAAGATAGTTACTCAGCAAATTGTCTGATCAGAAACCTCTTCCCAAAAAACAAGCTAACCTCATAGTTTCTAATGCCCTATTTGTCCTTTCTGAGCCAAGTTTAACTTAAACACTTACCTGACATTTACAAAGTCCCGAGGTATTTATTGCAGTTTGTATTTATGAACAAACCTACAAAACCTGAAAGAAATGACATCAACTTCAAGCTCTGCACAAGACACAGCTGCTCATCTCTTTAGCAGACATTGCTAAAAGCACGCTTCAGTGGTGAACCATATTATTAACTGAAAAGTCAGTTTAGTTGAAGTTTCAAGTGCAAGTTAATTCTGATTTTCCAAGCCTTCTTGTAACACCAAGAGAGTTATTTTCTGCACTTCTGCAATGGAGATATCTACGCACTAGTGAATCCTAAGCAATAAGTCACCAGCACTGCATTCTAGGAACTCAACCCAGAACATCACATTGAAAAAGTTACTAGGGGATCTCACTACATTTGAACATCATGCAGAAACAAATCAAAGCCAGCTAACACATACTGAAATCTTTCTAGTTCAGCTTTCCATTTGTCCTGGTTTCAGCTGGGATAGAGTTAATTTTCTTCCTAGTAGCTGGTACAGTGCTGTGTTTTGGATTTAGCATGAGAATAATGTTGATAACACACTGATGTTTTAGTTGTTGCTAAGTAGTGCTTACACTAGTCAAGGACTTTTCAGCTTCTCATGCCCTGCCAGCGAGAAGCTGGGAGGGGGCACAGCCAGGACAGCTGACCCAAACTGGCCAGAGGGATATTCCATACTTTATGATGTCATGCTCAGTATATAAACTGGGGGGGAAGTTGGGGAGGGGGTGGCAACCGCTGCTTGGGGACTAGCTGGGCATCGGTCAGCGGGTGGTGAGCAATCGCATTGTGCATCGCTTGTTTTGTATATTTTTTCATCATCATTATTATTATTATTTTCCCTTCCTTTTCTGTCCTATTAAACTGTCTTTATCTCAACCCATGAATTTTACTCTTTTTTTTTTTTCTTGATTCTCTCCCCCATCCCACTGCAGGGGGGCAGTGAGCAAACAGCTGTGTGGTGTTTAGCTGCCTGCTGGGTTAAACCACAACACCATTACACCAGAACTACAAAATTCAACTGTTTGATTTGGCTCTTCCTAAAATTATGAAAACCCTGCTAACAGGATCTGTTATCTTCCCGTGAGTAGAGAAGGGGAAAATGGCTATTGTCTTTAAATCCTTGGGAATTTAGTATGTACCATTGTGGTTAATGTCTGGTATCTGTGGGAATGGAAGCGGTCCAGAAAAACTATCTTAAGAATACTCATGCCACCGAGAAATGTTAAGGACAGAAGTACTATGATACTGGTTTTCCTTTAAAACCACCTGCTATAACATGCAAACATTTACGATAACCCTACAAAAAATATCTTTTAAAATAGACATAATTTTGTATAAATGCACCAACTTGTGTCTGTAAAACATCCTTTTTTTCTGAACTAAGCTTCATTAAGAACTATTGTAAAAATTTCCGACAAACAGAAAATACGCATTTGACTGCAGGGAAATAACTGGATTGCAGGCATTAGACTTCAAAGGTTTTAAATATAAAAAAAAAAAATCTTCATCCTTCAGTTTTCAAAACAATAATCTCATGCTACAAAATTCAGAGGGCTGTCAGATGACAATAACTTACGAACTACAACTTACCACACTACTTTTCTATTGTCTTGAGATGTGTTTTTAGAGGGAGGTAATTTGGTGTAGTTCCTCAGTTATGTCATAAAAAGGGGAAAAATGGTAGTCATTTTCAACCTGCTAGACAACGTTTGGAAGAAGTCCTGTTGATTTCTATTAAAAAAATCATATTGTTCTAAGAATTAGGATAAAAATGCTCTGGAGGAAAGCAGGCTTTTGAATTTTGAAACCATTTTCTAAAGAATTTGTGCAACCACTCATTACACGCATTTTTTTTCCAATGACGATCAGCCAGCATGCTAATACAGAAGTTATCCAGAATGTGACATGGTTACACAACGTATCTAGGTGATCCAAACGGATGCAGCTATACACAAGTGAGAGCACTTTTAAAAATAGCTTTTTTTTAAGCTATAAGCCATAACAGGATTTATGTTACAAAGGAAGAAGCCTTTATACACTAAAATGTACAAAGTAATGGTCCTGGAAGTACATACTTCTAGTTGCAGAAAAGACTATAAATAACTGGTTCTTGGCCATGGAATCAAATTCTTAAGACATGCAGGAAAAGGTTATAGGCATATTCTTACTTAAAAGAAATAGTAGCATTTTGTTTAATATAAAAATACTCTTCAAGAAAACAAGACAAGCAAGAGAATACCTCCAATAAAGGCAAAAACTCTCAAATATTTCTTGCACATCTCTAACGCAACCAAGTGAAGGACTTTTTAAGCATTATGTTAATCGAATTAATTTTGAAAAGGATTTGAAACAGAAGGGAATAATGATACAGCTGCTGTTTTATACTCCTTCATGAAGTCTGTTCTCCATAGAGTACTGTTAAAAAACCAGAGTGCTATTTCAAATAGGAAATAGTGAGTTATGTCATACACACAAACACTTCTAAAAATGGTTATTATGAAATTTCCCCTGACTTTTCATGCTGTTCTCAGGCACTACTTTCAGTCCCATTTCAGGATCCCACTGTACTAAGTTGTGTATTGGTTACTTTGGTTAGGTCAGAACAAGTACAACTTGCAGATGTTCGTAATATAACACAGACTTTCCATAATCTTCAGTAATGCTGTTCTTCCCGAGTTCTGGTTAAACATTTCAGCTATCCTGGTTAGTCAGTCGGCCTGTAAGCAATCACAGGCTGTTCTTCACCAACATCTATCAACATATCTAACGGCACGTGAGGCTTGTCATAGCCAGGAAACTTGAGACAGCTGCTTGGAATGACTGTTTGTTGTATTTCTGTGGCAGAAACCTCTGTGCCTGAAGAGTTACTGCATATATCCATTTGGTTACTGTCAGAAATGAAATAACTCTCTTTTACTTTGTGATTCTGTTCATCATCAGAAGATACCTCCTCTGTGCTTTCCTGCACAGATACCTCTTCTGCTTTGGCTGGTGCCTCTGGGGGAGGAACAGAAGATGCTCCTTCACTGGAATTCTTAAGACCAACAGTTTCTTCTTTTGGCTCTACCTCCAGCGAGGTTACTGCATCATTCGTTGGCGACACTGACTGGCCTGGCATGATGCTTATTACAGATACGTATTTCACCTCTGATTTTGACTCTGGAATGCTGTCTGTGTTCAGGTTTCTTATCACACTGACCTTAAACGGGAAAAAAAAAATTAAAAAATCACTTTTAGTTCCACATAATCTACTAATTTATCAGCTTTATCTTCTGTCAAAGTTTAGAGGTTAAAAAAAAAGATACAAGTTCATAATGCAAATTTAGTATCATTACAACCAATCCCAACAGAAATTAGCAAAATTAGAATCTGGCAAGGTCATTAGCCTATATCTATGACTTCAGCTGTTTCATTAACACTTTTATGAAAGCTCTCAAAAATGCTTTCTATGTGCAAACACATTTGCAAGGACCAAATCCATTTCACGTCACCCACTGTATTTTAAGTCATTTGAAGTTTGCAATGTAGAGGAAAACAGCGAAGGAAGAAACAGCTGTGATACTCTTCAACTAGCTGGAGAAACCTTTCATACTCTATAGCTAATGAGTGTAACTTGCAATGCCTGTAATATTTTGTGGCAACTGTCCCAACTGGGAGGGAAGTGAACTTTGGAAAGAGATCTTTAAAATGACATGAGAACCTTTATGCATACCCAATAGTCATATCTATGCTGAAGTCTTCCTAGTTATTTCTCCTGTGTCACTAAGCACTCCCTCAATGCTGCAACAAACATCAATGTCTCACTTGGAAACCCCTCCAACAGGAAGAACATATTAATTCCTTCAATGGCCAGGCTCCAGCTTGTTTTAAATGATTATGACATGCCTTCAGGCTGTTTAGAGTCTTCTGATTTTTTTTTGTTTTTAAAGGTGTTTTCAAGAATACGTATGAAAAACAATGTAGGGTAAATTTTCAGTTGTATGATGGCATTCCCTAAAGCTAACAGAAAACATAGGGAGAAAGGGTTACTCAATTAATAGTGTCCTTTTCCAAATCTCATAATTCACTACATGTATATCACAGACTATCAAGTACTGTAGATAAGCTAATTTCTTAATAAAATGTAGACAATCACTGTTTTCTGAGATACTTTGTAAAAAAAAAAATCTGACTGAAAATACAGGTTGAGGCAAATTTGGAAGAAAGGGATGTAGGTAGGAGGAGAAAAGGGGGAGAAAAATAATGTTGTTTAAGAAAAGCTACAAATTGGCAAAAAGAACCTCCCAGCCTGTATTAGTGTAAGAACTGAGCGAGCCATCAAAACCAGACGATCAAATCTGACTGTGCTTTTCAAGAATCTTCCTTGATCAGAAGGTTGTGAGGCTGTAATCTTTACATTCATACCTTCACAGTGTGCTGACTTCATCAGAACTTGCCTTCATCTCTCACTTCAGCCCCATACCTTTCCCCTCAGTTCCCCTGATACCTGTTGACAGTACTGTGGTTTATGCTGGATCAATGAAACTACTGGAGTTTTAAAAAAAACCCAAACCCAACAACAAACATCCCCTCAGTTCCCCTGATACCTGTTGACAGTACTGTGGTTTATGCTGGATCAATGAAACTACTGGAGTTTTAGTTTTAAAAAAAACCCAAACAACAAACACCACCACAAAGCAAACAAACACTCCCTGGAGACCAGTTATTTGTAATTTAAGTGAGTTTTACAAACAGCTGTGTTAGCACCACTAAGGTGAGGTGATCCCCTTGGGAATCAAGGACTGCCACTGGAAAACTAGTAAAAAGAGCATTAAGGTGGCTCCTGCCACTGAGAATATACCACACTACAACCTAGCTGCCATTCAGCCATCATTGTCTCTGGATGTTCATTTTCTGTTATGTGGAAACAGTCAGAATACTATATAAAGAACATTCAGAGCAATTTCCATGAGTATGTATGGAAACCACCCGTCCATAAGCAGCAGATGCTTAAAAGATAGCTGCAGAAACCAGAATACAATCAATAATGCATAGATACTGAAAAAGTTATGAACAGCTGGTAGGATTAATGTACCTTTTGAAAATCTGTTTATATAGATACATGAAAAAATATTGGGTATTTATGTTATACCAACACTGACCTTGAAGGGACCAGCATCTGTAGTTTTTTTGGGGGTAGCAAAAATCTGACTCCAATAGTCACACAGTAAGTGACAAGAGAAGATAATTCTCTGTGTAAGCTGGAGTACTTGAGGAATGTGAATTAAAACCAAATGCTATAGAAATTATGGCTAAAAGCTGCATTTACAACTTCCCATCTCTCCCCATACCAGTACATGCTGTACTAAAGTTAAAACCCAAAACCAACGAGTTCTTGTTCTGTCCTCTTAGGATTTTCACATGGCTCTAAAAATCATAGTCCTAAAATGTGTTAAGGGAATGCCTCGTACTCTACGCAGGTTTCTGCATTTCACAGTGCCAGCTGGCAACGCTTAGAGATAGACCCCGAGGATAAAATAAGTACTCTCTATACAAATACATCCAAGACTTTTGTTCTCAAAAAGGAAACCCGTTTTTCTCTTGGTGAGTTTTTGACCAAAGCAAGATGGTGCAAAGACACTCCTATTCCCATCCATGAAAGAAGGAAGCCATCAGAAGAAAACACTCTTGTGGGTTTCCTGGTACCAAAGGTTCTTCAAGAGTCACTGAGTCATGACTACAAGACAACTTAGCAATTCATGCATTTATTTCTAGCTTCAAAGAGAAGAATCACAGCTTACTACACTAACTGGAATGCCATTCAAAGCATCTCAAGTAACAAGGGTAATTAAGATACGGTTGCTACTTGAAGAAAAGTATTTATCGTAGGTAAGTTAATATTTTTCTTTCGTGCACATTATCCAATACTAGCAAACTGACAGCCAGTGAGCTTAAGCTGGAGGTCAGCAGTATTTCCTGGTATGTGCAGGTGCTCAGATATCTTCCTGTCTCCAATGACAGCACCTGAGCTTTCAGGTCTTTCAATGTCTCAACAGACAACAGGGAGATACACCGGTGAAAGCCAGAGTCAAGGATACATATAAATAACATATCGCAAGAAATCCCTAACAGTTAAGGTAATCAACAGTTTCTTTTTTAACTTTCTTTCCTAAGGGCTTGTCCACCTACAAATTCCCAGTAATTTTCAGGAACACATTTTCTGGAGGAGAGTTTGAGAAGTCCATTTCAAATCTTATTAGGACCTTGACAAAATCTGCATGGCCTTTGCATGGCTCCACAACAAATTAATGCTGGGTCAATGTATAAATAGGAGACTATGTTACTGCCCTATAGACGCTCACAGGAAAAAAAAATCTTCACAAAAGCTAATGAGGCAGCTTCTATCAGTCAAAATTTACAGGAACAATTTCTCCAAATCAAAAATATAACCAAAAAAGCCAGAGTCACAAAGCAAATTCGTGTTTTGTGACTATCCATAGGTGTTTTACAAATACAGTGAGAGAACACAGCCTTGTCATTCCTGTCGGGCTCAGAAAAAGCACCAGCAGATAGCAGAAAAGTTGACTTAAGTATGAGCTAAAAATGAAAGTCAATACGTTTCAATGAGTCTTTCTCTTATAGAGTGGGTGTTTTCTACCCACTAAAATATTTGCCACCATTTAGAGATAAGAGGCACTGAAAAAAAAAAAGACGGTGAAGTTAAAGCAGAGGGAGATGCCCACAGCATATCAGTAAATTAAGGTCAGGCTCCTTTTGAAGTGGATAAGCCCTTATCACAAATCTTACATCACAAATCTAGTACAGGACAAATCACACAGAGGACAAATTGGAGTGACTGAAGATGGTGGGTGGAAGGAGACAGCCTCTTGAAATACTTTTTGCGAGATAAAGGAAAGAAAATGAATGGTTCTAACTAGAGCTGGACTGCTGAAACATCAGATTCTTGTGATCCAGCAGAAGACTAGCATGATGAAGCCTTGCAAAGGAATCCATCCCATTTCACCAGAAGCATATTCCTGGTAGGATCCTACTATGAATAAGGACATTTAAAACACTTAAATGAACATTTTCTCTAATAAAGGTAATAATTCAATGCCCATACTGACAGTTGCACTGTGGAAGTAGGACCTGTACATGACTGACATGTTATTCTCGGGAGTCACAAACAGCATAGAAAAGACAATATAAAAGTTCTTGAGATCTAAATGGCAGTGGATTTTTTTTTTCCTTTTCTATGGGTATATAAGACTCGCAGCAAAGGCAGCTGCTTGATGGTTACTCTTTCTTATTTTTCCTTCTGTTGGAGAATTCCAACTTGCTGAAAAACACTCAAATGATGTTTTAGCATCTACTTAAAGCCACCAGGAAGCAGATCACTGGAAGGCAGCAGTCCTAAGGTAGGACACCTCGCCTAGCCTTTTAACAGATGGAAAAACTCCCTAGATGTTTCATTTTCAGACAAAGTCAGGTAAAGCACAATAGTCATAACCTGTACAGAGAGAAGTGTCTAGTACACATTCAAAGGTCAGTGACAGGCTCTCAGCTCCAAGAAGTCTACAGAGATAACTTTGTATCATTAAACTTATTATTCACATTAATTATTTACATTATTTATTCATTACTTTAAATGATTAATTATAAAAATAATCAATAATTAATCATAAGTTATTAATTATTCATTTTACATTCCCACATTATTCATATCACCTGTATTGAAACTATCCTTACGAGCTCTGCAATTTATATTTGTCACTAGAGACTTCAGTGGAAATGGACAGAATCACAGAATATCCTGAGTTAGAAGGGACCCACGAGGATCATAGAGTCCAACTCCTGACTCCACTCAGGGCAACCTGAGTTGAAGTTAACCAGAAGTTAAACCATACATCTAAGAGCATGGTTCAAATGCTTCTTGAACACTGACAGGCTCGGGGCCGTGACCACTTCCCCGGGGAACTTGTCTTAGTGCTTGACCACCCAGGTAACAATCTTTATAAATAGTTATAGGTTTCATATAGCAACAAAGCATGATGTGGAATGTGAATCAGACTGTGGTATGCTGGAACCTAGGAAACACAAGATAACATATAGCCCAGTAAATTGAGAATATAGGTACACAAACAAGTTTCTACAAGGTGAGCTAAAGTGTGAACTTGGAGCATGCATCAGGAAGCTTATAGGAGTTAAGGAGCACACATTCTATTTGTGCAATATTCTTTTTCTGGATCCCTTAGAAGCGATACCACAGCGGTACTGGGAAGCCAGAATAACTATGGATCCATTGAGCATAGCACTGCCATTCTGGATGAGCTGTCTTTTGCTATAATGAACGGTCTTCACAAAAATTACTGCGTGTATGTAGGACATAATGTTCTGTATTCAGACAGTTACACACTGGTGTGGAGATGAAAAAAAAATCTCCAGTGTCTCACTTTTTCTACAAGCCTGTGTGTTTTGATATTGGGGTCTAGCTGCAGATTCTGTCAGACAGGTTTCTCTCATCTGATTTTTTAAAGTCTACAGTGTGAATGGCTATCTCTGAACTAGTCTCATGGCTCCATCACAGTCCATGGAAGGAAACAGGCATTTTAGAGAGTTTTTTGTCTGACCAGAAGTGCATATTATTTTAGAATGAGATGCATCATCTTGTGCTGCACAAGTTGATGGACTAGATTACTGCTTACTACAAAGGGACCTAGCTAGCATCACTGCGTTGGATATCTCCATTTAGTCAGAGCAATCTCACCTCCTAATAATTCTATTCCAAAGAACCCAGGCTCCAGGGGGATCTTAGGCATTGAGCTACCCCTGCACTGTGAAGGAGTCACTTTAAAGGGTCTTGAAGTTGAAGAACATGGAATTGAAGACCATTGCCTCTTCTCTCTAGAAGTCTTATGAGACTTCCTGCATCCGCTGAGAAGATACACTCTTGATATGATTACCATTTACTACTGCTTCACATGGCAGTTCTTGAAAGCTGTTTCAACTGCTGCTGATTGTTCAGTTGCTGCGACTAATGAGACACCAGGAGGACATTATAACAGTACTTGTCAGATACTCTGCTCTTGCCTGATGTGAAAGCAAGGAGTGCTGTTTAAGGAACATCCACTCTGTTTCCTAAGGATGGTTACAGAGAGAGCTTTTAAGGTAGAGCAGCTGCTGACCTCTCTTCCCTGTGACTGCTCAGTGTGAGAACAGATTTCCCCTAGTTGTTCTTCACTCTTTGACAGCACTGTAACTCCCCACCTCCCCTTACTCTGCACATCACTTTGAGAACATTGTAGCACTTAGCAGTATCACAATATTACCATGTAATGAAGAAATCCCACAGGCATCCAATGACAGGACAAGAGGAAATGGGCACAAACTGAAACACATGGAAATTTATCTGAATATAAGAAAACAATTTTTACTGTGAGGGTCGTTAAACACTGGAATAGGTTGCCCAGAGCGGTTGTGGAGCCTCCTTCCCTGGAGGTATGCAAAACCCAACTGGGCAAAGTCCTGGGCAACCTGCTCTCGCTGATCCTGCTTGAGCAAAAGGGTTGGACTAGATGATCTCAAAAAGTCTCTTCTAACCTCAGCAATGTGAGCCTCATGAGGTTTAACAAGGCCAAGGGCAAGATCCTGCACCTGGGTCAGGGCAACCCCCGGTATCAATACAGGCTGGGGGATGAAGGGGTTGAGAGCAGCCCTGCCGAGAAGGACTTGGGGGTACTGGTGGATGAAAAGCTGGACAGGAGCCAGCAATGTGCGCTCGCAGCCCAGAAGGCCAATCGTATCCTGGGCTGCAGCAAAAGAAGCGTGGCCAGCAGGTCGAGGGAGGTGATTCTGCCCCTCTCCTCTGCTCTGGTGAGACCCCACCTGGAGTACTGCGTCCAGCTCTGGAGCCCTCAGCATAAGAAAGACACGGACCTGTTGGAGCGGGTCCAGAGGAGGGCCACGAAAATGATCAGGGGGATGGAACACCCCTCCTGTGAAGAAAGGCTGAGAGAGTTGGGGTTGTTCAGCCTAGAGAAGAGAAGGCT